CCCCCCCCCCCCCCCACTGGGAAAATATTTCCTTTTTATCCCCGTCCCAAAACAGTTGTCTTGAGACCAATTTTATTACTCTGAGAATTTAAAGGTCTCTTGACGCATGCGCATAGATGCACACATCCCCCTCCCACAGGCGCACACAGCAAAGTCAGTCTTAGAAAAGGCTAAGAATAGACTCCTAATTAATTTATATGTATTTCTATTTCTGACTTTAGAAATAAGACTGCCCCATTTGATGCACCAAGAAGCGAAGAGCCTCTCTCTGGAAAGAGCTCACCTGCCTGGCATTTTAGCTCTACAAGTTTCCCTTTTGAATAGGATTCTGCAAGATAAACATTAGATGGAAAGAGAGAAACAAAACTGGAGAGCCCACAAAATACACTTTTACTGAGGCTACAAAGCGAGTTGAAAGCAAAACACAAGTCAGTTTACAGGGTTGAGCCTGATCCTTTAAAAGAGTTGAAGAAATTCAAAACAAGAAAGGAAAGAAACAAGAAACTTAAGGAAGCCCAGGCAGTTCGCGTGTGCTGGTTACAAAAATAAAGCCATCTCTTACCTTCTTTCTGAGCCTCACTTGTCCTGTAATGATGGCAATGACATACATTTTTAAAATCAAGATTGTGCTATAGAAAGCAAAGGACACAAACACCTCATTTTTCATCATTTTTTCTGGAAGTGTGGGAGTAGATCTGTGTCCTAGTATACCAGCTGCAACCACTGGAGACTTACTTCAGCTGAGAGAGTGTTTCTGTAAGAGTGGGATGGCTATATAATTGCATAAAGCGCCTCTTGTATTCCAGTCACAGCCCACAGTAAGCTAAGAGGCACCGGACAACCGGGGGGGAAAAAAAAACACAACCCAAAAAACTTTCTATTCGCTTAATTGCTTTCTCTATCTCCCACCTCAGCAATTTTAAAGACTTTCACCCAACAAGGAGACTCCCCCAGAGAGATAGATTGCATGTTTGAAAGAGCCACCCGGATACCACGTGAAGAACTGCTGCAGTACAGAAGAAAACCCCCCATGAATCACACACCACTGGTTATGACGTATCACCCCTCCCTCAGACCCATACAGAAAATCCTCAAACAAGTGCAATCCATACTAGAAAGAGACCCTACGCTTAAAGAGATCTTCCCAGAACCACCCATCCTAGCCTTCAAGCACACACTGAACCTTGTTAACCTTATCACCAGAAGCAAAATTCCTCAGGCCCAAAACACACCAAATGGATCCAGGCCATGCCATGCCAAGACATGCAAAGCCTGACAACACACTTCCATGCCCCCCCCCGCCCCACAATTACTGCACCCCACAACAGAGCCATCAGCATTCCCAGATCTTACAGCTGCACCTCCAGAAATGTAATCTCTCTTATCCAATGCACCAAATGCCCCAATGGAAAATACATGGGAGAGACCAAAACAACAACTGCGCACCAGAATGAACGCACGCCAGAAACCTATCAAAGACAGAAATATCCAACTACCCGTGGGAGCACATTTCTCACAAGAAAACCACTCTCTCTCCAATCTCTCAGTTCTAATCCTCAAAAGGAAACTTACAAAACACTTCTCAGAGACGAGCCTATGAACTTCACTTCATCAACCTCCTGGATACTAAAAGTCATGGACTAAATACAGACATTGGATTTATGACATGTTATAGCTTGCCTAACAACCAACTCCCCAGGTACCTTTCATTATTCACCCCCTTCCCTGTCCCCGCCCCCCTCCAGTCTCACCCACTGACTCCTCAATCTACATCTTCACTGACTGCCCATCTTGCATGCATACCAGCCCAGCCTCTGGCTTTACTTTTCATTCTATCCAGGAAGAGCACACACCAACTGCAGAGACTTCCTCAGCCTGACTAAGGGTTTTTAAACCCGAAAGCTTGCTTAACCTTTTTTTCCAACTATTTAAGTTGGTCTAATAAATGATACCAGATTCACCCAAAGAACCTTGTCTGCCTTAACCATTAGTTAGCTTTCAAACATACACAGGACTGCAAGGGGCTTCTTGGACAACTGAGTCCAGTCCCTGGCACTCAGAGGCAAACACTTCCCAGAAAAGCACTAAAATAGCTACTTCAAACCCTCACCCATGACAAGGCAGGAACAACATAAAATACTCTACCATGCAATAGGTAAAAATAGGGGAAAGGAGGGAGTTGCCAGTGCCTTGCTACTACAGTGACATGGAAGTGGTTGGTTAGTGTGTGTTAAGCATCTCCCAGGAAGAAAACTGTGCCCCACATGACAGGGGGGCTAAATACAGATAAGCCCAAAACTGAATCATTTCAATCTTCATGGGTTAGTCCAAGCTATGTAGAATGAACTAATAAGCAAGTGAACAAACATTCAGTTTTGATTCTGGAAATCAGAACTGCAGTTTTGCACTTGTGGCCTGGGCCAGAAGCTGGGAGAGGTGGCAGGAGGTGGCCTCTACAGCCCACCTTTCTGCTCTGCTGTAGCAGACAGCTGGGCTAGGGACAGAAGTTACACATAAACCAGTTTAAGTGATCAGAAACTGGTTTAAACCTGTAACAGAACAGAAGTTCAGTGCACATAACCCAGTTTCAAAATGGCTGAAACTGGTTTAAGATCAACCTGATTGAATGTAGTATCAGATTTAACTGATTTGGGTCAAACTAGTTTATGGAACTTCTGTCCCAGATCCCTTCCTAGTTTAGGTTAAATCAGAGTCCCCCAGCATCCCAGATGTTTTGCATCCCTGGGCTGGGCTGTCTGCTTCAGCATAGAAGGGAGAAAGCAGGGGGAAGCAGGGACTGCCCCCCTCCACCAGCCCCAGGCAAACCCCGGCTGGGGCCAAAGAGGATGGTTAAACTTTCCTCCCTCCCCATCCAGTACAGAGCTGCCCTGCACTGCTAAAAGTTTACTGTGGGCTGCAACTGTGGACTACAAATCCCAGAGGAACCTGGAAACAAGAAGAGAAAGTGATGAGCAACCCTGCAGAGTCCTGTTGCTGTAACTGTGGACTGCAAATCCACGAGACTTCAGAACAGCAAGAGGATGTGAACACACAGCTCATGCTGGCTATGTGCCAGAGAGCTGTGCTCTAGCATCCCCAGCTTCCAGCTTGAGCCACTGCAGGCAGGTGGCTGCACTTCCACCTGGAATCAAAAGTGAATGCCTGTCTAGTTGTTTCTCAGTTTAATCTCTGCATCTTATAGCATTAGACTAACCTGCAAAGACTGAATTGATTCACCTCAGGCTTTTTGACTGTCTGTATTTAGCCCTTGAATCTGGAGAGGATCTGGGACAGAAGTTCAATAAACTAATTTAACTTAAATTAGTGAAGTCTGATACTATATCCCTCCAGGTTTATCTTAAACTGGCTGGAGCATGTTTAAAAGATCTCTTAGGCATCAAGAGGCAGAATAAGATACGAGACCAAGAAAACCCAGCCAACTTTCAAGTCGATGATGAAATTCCAATTCTGCCAAGTGTGCAGGATCAGGTGTTATATGCACTGCATTTATTAGCAATAAATTACTTTTGTTTCTTGGCAGTTAAAAAAAAAAGTTTTGGTTCAAAAGGAAAGTAAAAATTTTTCAGCAAGTTGAAACAGCTAAAATGACTCATCTCTAAGCAACGTTTTACAAGTGTAATTTTTTTTTATTTTAATTTTTAAAGTATTAAAATATGAAAACACTTTCACCCAGGACTATAGAAGTGTTTTCAAGAGTGCTAAAACAACCATCTTTCCATTTACAATAAAAGTTAACAAAGTTTCCAGGAATTCACAAGGATGCTTCCATGTCCCCAGACCTGCATTTTTTTTTGCAAGAACAATTTTGATTATAAATAAATAAGTGGTGCAACTAGCGAAAAATACTTTATTTGAAGTGGGGCAACAAGGTTCCTATACCCTCTTGTATAGTAACCCAAAGGATTTTGCATTTTGTAACATAGTTCATTTTTCCAGGGAGCAAGAAATTTTCTACTCTAGCAAGAAATTGATTTCTAGTAGGATGTGGAACAGGGGTGGGCAAATATTTTGGCCGGAGGGCTGCATAATGAGTTTTGGCGAGCTGTCAAGGGCTGCAAGGGTAGCCCCACCTCCTGATCACCAACTTGGGACTGAAGTCCCACCCTCTAATCCCTGACCTTTGCCACCAGAAGTCCCTACCCTTACCCCCAGAAGGAAAAAAAAACAAAAACCCCAACAAATCTTACACTAAAAAACAAACATGTACTATAACATACTTTAATTTTATTTAAAAAAATATTTTGTCCTGATTTACATGTGTAGTGTGCAACTTGCAGGGCTTTAAATAACTTCTGTACACTGGTCAAATATCCAAGCAGTGGAGAAGCCCCAAGAGGCTGCAGATTGCGCCCTTGCCGCAGTTCTGTCATGTTTAAGAATGGCTCTAACTTCATAGCTCTATAAAAAGTGCTCTTAATTACAGCACTGTAAAATGTATATGAAGCACTTCTGTACACATTCCAAGTCTTCCAGTTCTAGGGCACTGGCATGAATTTGAGCATCACTATACTTTTCAGAGAAAACTGCAGCAACTACTGTGTGCGCAAAAAAAAAAAAAAAAAAAAGACAGAAAGTCAGTTGTCTGCAATGTACAGATCAAGTCATTCAAGAGGTTTGGAACATTGGTCCCAACCAGGAGTAGCAAGTTGAGGGAGAGCTTCTCTGCCCCATGGCTCATATAAAGCTTCCCTGCTACAGCTGAGAAGCAAGCCCAAGATCTAAGCCCATCTCCAGGGCAGGAACAGGCAAAGTTAAAGGAAAGGGGGTTGGTCGTTAAAAGCATGATTTCTTGTTCCCCTTGTCCAGGGAGCCTCTGCATCCCGAGTCTCACTGAGACAGGGCCATTGCCACGTTTACTCTACTTTAGCTTATTGAGAAGTGTGACCTTTTGAAACAATGAGTCTGTGAATGTCTTCCGGCTAGGTTGAGGAAAGTGGATGCTTTCTCTGCCAGCAATGTCCATCATTTTGTGGTTCACATAGAAGTCTGGTGCTCCATACACCCAAGGGGGTGGGCAGACAGGGAAGGAGACCCTTTATCTACAGCTCTCTCAAAGACTCCCCACCAGCCCCATGACAAAGAGGGAAGTTACAGGTCAGGACAAGACAAGACAGGACTGTGCCCAGACTGGTTGACTCCCCTCCACCTCACCCCTGCACAATTATATTTACCCATGCAATCCTCCCACAATTGCTACGTGCAGCGGCCAGAGCTATAAAACCTACCAACAGGCAAATCAGGCCTACGCAATTACCCTTGCAGCTCAAATACTGCTATTACAGCAGCCGGGAGAACAATGGCTACTTCTTAGAGTTAAACATTAATTTGTAGGAGCATCCAAAGTCTTTACTGTTTTTTTTAAAACAGTGCCTAAAGTACGTGTCTGCACGCACGCACGGGCCAGAAATAAAGGTAATCTCTGGCAAGTATCATTTAGGAAGATGGGTAACATGGGAAAAATCTAACCTCCCCCACCCTCCAGTAGTTTGCAGAGACAGATATTTCAGAAAAGCTCAGAGCTGTTCAAGTATTCAACATCTCCCATTGGGATACCTGCAGCCAAGTTCTTACCAGAGGTCAGAACCCAACATGCAACAGATCAAGGTTGCATGCAACATGCAAAAGATCAAGATTGGCTGACAGGCTACTTTGAAAGCCCATTCTATCCAGGTCTGCTTGGGGAAGGGAAGCCACTTGATGCTGGTCACAAACTGGGGTTGATCCTGGTGATGAGTAACTCCAACACAAGATGCTTCTTGAGGAGCCAGGGGACATCACAAGCCCAGCTGGACTATTGCAAGGTGTCTCCCAACCCCATGAGCAGGCAGCAGTCCATCAGCTCCCACCCTGACATTACAAACTCATTCCCTGCAGTCACCAGGGAGATCTCCCCCAGCCTCAGTTCAGGTGCTGGGGCTTGTGCGAAG